GAATAATCACCATAATGATATAATATTTTTGTTAAATAATATTTTATTATTATTATTCAAGGTATTATTATAATAAAAATAGGTTGAATTACCAAAACATTAGGTATATTTACGGTAAATAGGTACATTTTTCGAACTTTAGATTTATTTACAAAAATTTTAGGCATGATTTATTTGAAATATTACACGTTTATTTTCAAATTAGTCACTTTTTAACTTAGTCAAAATTAACAATAAAAATATATAACCCATTTACAATAAAAAAGATCAACCCTACACGAGGGAGACACCACAAAGTGTGAGTTGTCAAAAGTAGCTATCGATGCCTCCGATAAGCGAGATCTCCCACCGGAAGTTGGCCCGGTGGCTTGATAGGGTCTGGTAAACCCTAAAGGCAATTTCCCAGGAAGAGTAAGTCGAGCCTTGTCACCTCGCATCTTCGCCGTTCCAGCAAGTCCTAACTCTGCGTTCTCAAAGGCTTTGAAGGAAACGCTCTGAACTTAGAGAGTCGGATTGTCTCTCCATTTGATCCTCAAACAGATTCTTGCCATTTGAATAGCACAGGACCGCTATTTGACTTTGGCTTGGATAAAACCTGGTAATACCAGGGGCAAAGATGTGGGTTATAAAAAATGACTCCTCGGCGCTATGTAGACTCTTAAATGTTATAAGAATAAAACATAATTAATTTCTTCTTTTTTTTTCATTACATAAACATCATGTCTACTTTAGAATACATCGATACACGAGATCCGGAAGCGAATTTAAATTACATTCAAAACGCGCCAACTCCAACAAGTGGTCAACCAGTTGTTCCAGTTGTAATACCACATCAAAGCATTCCACCAATTGAAAAGAAAAAACGAGGAAGACCTCCAAAAAACAGAAATTTGCAAATTCCTACTACATTATCAAAGAAGCGTGAGTACACACGTTTGACAAATGCACAAAGAAATCATCTGTTTAAAGAATGGCAAACTCATGGAGATGATTGGTCATTTAGTGAATATACTTCAATGGTTGGTATTAAAAAGAAAATACTTGAAAATATGTTGACTTTGCTGCGTCAAGGGAAGTCTATATACACAAAGAATCACTATAAACGCCAAAGAAGAACACTCCCCTTTCAAGAACTCGTTTATAAAGGAATTGAAAGGGATGGAACAATTTCAGTAGCATCTCTTCGCAAAACAATTGCACAAGAAGAAAAATTGAAAATGGAAAGACAACAAGAAGACGTAATTATAAACTTGGAAATAATTGATGAAGTTGAAGTGACTAAAGAAGACGTTAACAATTTAGCACCCTCAAAAAATTCGATAACGAAATTCATGTCTGGAAAGACAACAAAAGGAGAAGAAAGAACGGTTCCTATATTTTCATTTAAAAGAGTCAAAACATGAGGAGTCCCAGCTAACACGCCAGAAAATATGGATAAAAAGATAGCCGCAGTAAATGAGTTAAGAGGTTTGATCGGGGGAGGTGCAAAGTGGGTTTGCATAGATGAAACAAGTTGGAGCATTGCTTCAACTGCTGCTTATGGATGGTCAGCTAGAGGTAAAGAGTGTTTTATTACTAAAGCCAGAGGAGGTATTCGCCTCACATCCATTTGCGCTATCGACTTAGATGGGTTTTCTTATTGTAATATCACTCCTGGAAACAACACTCTGGCAAGTTTCGAAGTGTATTTTAAATATGTTCTCAATGAATATGATAAGTTGGGTCGCTATTGTGTATTTTGGTGTAATTATTGTGATATACACAATTCAATGAATCGAATAGTTAATGGTACAAATCATTCAGTGGTGTTTAATGCAGCTTATTCACCAGCTCTTAACCCAATCGAGAACATTTTGGCTTATGGAAAAGAAGTATAAAAAAGGATGTCAGGATTTGGAATGGCCTTCAAGAGCTATTGGATAAAATCGCAGAAGGATTTAAAACAATATCTGGAGAAGAGACTCAGGCTTCATTTGAAAGGGTCCGAGAAGAAATCTGGCCAATTTTTTTTGCAAGAGAAGCTATTTAGTTATTCGTTCGTTAATAATTATTTATTTTTGTTTTATTTATTGTTAATTTTGACTAAGTTAAAAAGTGACTAATTTGAAAATAAACGTGTAATATTTCAAATAAATCATGCCTAAAATTTTTGTAAATAAATCTAAAGTTCGAAAAATGTACCTATTTACCGTAAATATACCTAATGTTTTGGTAATTCAACCTATTTTTATTATAATAATACCTTGAATAATAATAATAAAATATTATTTAACAAAAATATTATATCATTATGGTGATTATTCCTAATTGGCAAAAATTATATCTAATTTATTATAATCAATCTATTTTATTCAAAAAACATCATTTTTAACAAAAAATCTAACTAATATTATAAAAATGACTAATTCAGTCGAAAAAACATCCTTTTTAAACAAACTCCGACTCTAATTACTTTTTGTGATTACATTAAATTTATAAAATGAATAATTATTAAATGTAACTATTATGGGGTTTATAAGATATAATTTATTAAAAACCATACATGTATTAAACAATTTAATTAATGTTCTGTTCAATTATTTTGTAGAAAACTGTAAATTAACACAGAAGTAGAACGTCTTTTTTAATAAACCTTTGTTTATTCGTTGGTTTTTTTGTTGTAAACTCTTGATGTTCCAGTTTTATTCTGTCGATATCTGTATGAAGATTGGCTCTACCTTAGCCTCAGCTTTCTTTTGTTTCTGTGTGTATTCATCCTTTGATGCCAATTGGTTCTTGTCGAGCCAGTCGGGTGTCTTTTTAATAGTTGCCTTAATTGCCGCCTTGTCGTCTGGTGAGAGCTTTGCTGCAATTTGCTCTTTGAGTGTGTTCTTCATCGAGTAGCAGAAATTCTCAAAGTCGATTCTAAGCCTTGAAAAATTCCTTCATTTTGTCGTCCTCCGTCTTGAACTCCTCTGCTTCTGCGACTATTTTGTCTTTCTGTTCCTTTGAGAGTCTTCCCTTGTCGTTTGTGATTGTGATCTTGTCATTCTTTCTTGTTATCTTGTCCTCAGCTGAGACATTCAATATCCCATTTGCGTCAATGTTAACCGTGACTTCTACTTGTGGGACTTCACGTGGTGCGGATACCAGATAATTCAAACTTGCCAAACAGGTTGCAGAGTGATGTCATAGATGCCTCACCTTTAAAGACTTGGATGAACACGCCTGGCTGGTTGTCCGCATATGTCGTAAAGATTTGTGACTTCCTTGTTGGAATTGTTGAGTTTCGTGGGATCAGTGCCGTCATCACACCGCCAGCTGTCTCAATGCCAAGTGTCAATTTTTGACAACTTCGACAATGACAGAGTGATATCCAACTTAATGGCAGAGTGCTGAAAAAACATAAAAAATCGGTCGCTTTGAGTCAATTATATTAATTATTTTTCAAAATAAGAATTAATTAAAAAATAGAAATATTTATTAATAATTTAATATAATATAAAAATACAATTTAAACTAATAATTATAATTGATTTACTTATTGTTATAATATAAAATTGGAAAAAATAAATATTGTTTTTATATGATTTTAAAAAACAATTTTTATTTTTTTTATTTAAAAATTTATTTAATATAAATACAAATAATTTAATAAGTGTAATTTTATTAAAAACCCGCGAAATACCTGCACGAACAACATGGCATTATTTCTATAAAAAGAGACAAATAATTTGAAAAA